CCTGTTGAGTGAAAACAGAAGTTGCAGACAGTACATACAGTAGACATTGATGTAAGCTTAAAGCTCCCACAAGGGAGGGTTCTAGAAAGATGATGGTAGAGGCAGTAGTATTGGAATTTCTTTGAATCTCTTCCAAATCTCTCTCTCTCCCTCCCACACCCCAATGTAAAACAACCCAAAGAAAGATTGCTGATTGCTGGTATTCAGGGTACCATCTTGGCCACTTCTGGCTCATAACAGGAAATTTCAGTCTCCAGAGGTACAATGAGATAGAGATAGGAGGGAGGGAGGGAGGGAGGGAGGAGGGAGGGAGGAGGAGTAGATAGATAGAGAGTATCTCCAAGCACCCCCAAACATGATTAGGCAGGGTGAAACCACATATGACCACATGCCTTGTGAGTTGTCAGTGTCTGCGGAAGAAAGTAGAGGGAAGCAATGGGATGTCAGATAAAGCCAAAGACAGGAGAATGCCCAGATAACTCAGGGGTAGCGACTGGAGAGCGTCGTGGGCCAACTGAAGAACAGCAGCTGGAAGCGGAGGGGCTTTGCCTGCTGCAGGAAAAGGTGAGCGCAGAGCTCCAGGTGAGAAGCGCTGTAGAATGAGCATGGTCTGGCAACGACATGGTCAAGAAACTGACCCACGAGGGCTCCTTTGCAGGACAGGGACCACAGTGAGGAGAAACTGCTGAGTTTGGAAGCAGCATTGAACAGGATAGAAGCAATGTAAAGAAAGAAACATGCCCTGGCTGGTGTGCCTCAGCAGACTGAGTGCCGGCCTGCAAACCAGTTCGATTCCCAGTCAGGGCGCATGTCTGGGTTACGGGCCAGGTCCCCAGTGCGGGGGGGCACGTGAAGGGCAACCAGCATTGATGTTTCTCTCCCTCTCTTTCTCCCTCCCTTTCCCTCTCTCTAAAAATAAATAAGTATAATCTTTTAAAAAAAGAAAAGAAAAAAATGGGCAGAGGAACGGATTCAGAAAATCTCAGAAAGCAAGCTGCCCCCTGCTTTTTTTTTTTTTTTTAACATTACACAAAAACAATTGAAGCAGGAGCTCTGTGAATTTAGAAAAACTATCCTGAACCACTTCTTTTTTTAAGAGTTCTGGAAAACTAATCTCATATAAAAATGAGCAACAGAATGTATCTAGGTCAACTCCCATACGAAGTTATTATAAGAAAAAAAAAAGAATAACGAACAGAACCAAAATCCTACAGATAGCAAAAGCATGCCAGAAAGCCATGCCAAAAAAGGGATTAAAACAAAACATCATATTTCAAAATGAGCTAAGAAGCATTAGTAAAAAGATATAAGACATGAAAGAACAACAGAAATGAAAATCAGAAAAACTCAGACAAGGGAAAAAAGAACTCAGGGAAAAGACAAGACTATGAAAGAAATGAAGTCTAAACTAGAATGAACCGAAAAAGAAGGGAAGGAAAGGCTGATGTCTTCAGAAAAATAGAGAGGTGACAGGGAGGGGAAAAATGAAGATATAAAATAAATGAAGAGAGAAAAAGTATTCAAGAGACAGGCAAAATGTGGAAGGTAGGCAAAGAAGATTCAAAGTATGAATAACAGAAATCCCTGAAGAAGAAAACCAAATTAAGGAAACTGAACAAATACTAAACACTTTCCTGAAATTATAAGAAATGTATTTGAAACCCCCCCATTGTGAGGGATGTGCATCCTTAGAGCATCAATGTACAACAACTAACACATATACTAGTCAGATGGCTAAATCTTACAGAAGAAAGAAAAAAAATCCTTTGAACTTCTAGGCAAAAATAGACTTATATGAAAAAGAAAATTAGATTATCTTCAGGCTTTTTAATAACATATTTAAGCTACTTAGGGGAAGAAATTTTGTGCCAAGGGTTTTTATACCCAGAAAAACATTGACTTTCAAGTATAAAGGGCACAGACTGCTTGTTATGAAACATGCAAGAAATTCAGGGAATATTTCCCATGAGCCCTTCCTGAGGAATGAGCTCGAGACAACAACTCAACTAGACCGACATCCTCGTAAGGGCTGATGGTGAATATCAGCCTCAGCGCCGCTGATGGAATGAACGTGAAATGAGAGGGAGAGGGGAGTGGGCCTTGTATGTACCGGCTATGTGCTCAGATAAAACGGCACAATGATTAAATAAGAAATGGGAAAAGCATAGGCAAAAAAACAGTTTTAACTGCTCTCAATGATTATAAAGCATATTAATGGTAGTAGTATTAGAACTGATATTCGGAGGCTGTTCTGTGTGCAATGAGAGATAGGTAAATGGGTAATTATGGGCTATTTTAACTCTATCAGTCCCTTTGTCCTGGAGAATTAGGACTCGGAGTGCAGAAAGAAGCAGGCGACAGCTATGAAGAGAAGAGATTGAGAAAAAAAAAATCCTGTAGTCCTGAATTTTAGGTCTCAGTATGAACTCATTAGCTATATTATTTTAAAATTATATATGTAAATGTATATATGTATATTTCTATCAGTATTTACTGAAGAGGCCTAGAAAAAATGATCAACTCAATAGCAATGAGCATTCCCATGCATCCAGACTGTGGTCTTAAAATATTATTTCCCACCCGAAGAAACCAGGGCTTTAAGGGAAACGACTGATTTCAAGCCTGGAGCTGGAATGGTACGAGGCAGGGTGGGAGCTCCTCCTTGTACCACTCAGCGAGGAAGCTGTGGGCGGCTATGTTGGCTCATGTCAAGGAGTCAGGAGCCGCAGAGAAGAGGGTCCCACTGGTCGAAGTTGGGACAATTTGAGCTTCAAAAGGATAAAAATTGAAATAGATGTAAACTCATCAAATATGTATAAATTTATGAGTTCATAATGACATTTTAAAGAAAGCTAATTGACTACTTTAGGGTAATAATAAAAAGACAGTGAATTATTTGAAAACTGGCAAATAAAGAAAAAGAATTAAGTATTAATCCTGACTTTCTTAGTATGAATAGTACTATTAGGAACTATGGGAAAAATATCTATAAAATATGATGATGAAGATAGAAATTGTCTCTAAATACAGGGTCTGGAAGAAGTAATGCCTGCTTGAGTGTGGTTGGTAGGGGACGTGAATGTCTCACAAGAGATGGACAGCAATTTGAAATTTCACCTAAAATGCCATATAGTATGCGTAAGTGTGATAGCGATATGTTACAAAATGACATGCTACTGATTTTGTAATAAGATATTTTTGGAATAAAGTGGGTGTTATTTGTGCCAGACCCCCTGTATATTTAATTACTAAATGAAATATAAATGATAGATTAAAAGAGAACAGTTTTGCAAGCCCCTGCAAACTATAGGTCAGGTCACTGAGCATCAACAGCTGCTAATTACAAAAAGGGAAAAAAGAAAACCACTTTTGAAGGTCTCCTGATGAAAGAAAACACCAGCACTTATCATCTTGCCAAGGAAGTCACAGTGGAGTCTGATCAAGCCTCTGGACACAGCTGCCGAATTTCAGGAGCTACAGAGCACAGAGGAATGCGCACAATTATGCCACGGGGAGGCTCAGCCAAATCCAGGGACTCTCCTCAAGGCAAATTCCACAGCTAAATTCCAAGGAAGAGGAAGGGATGGAGATGGAACTTGTAGATTAAAATAGATGTCAAAATTCTTAAAACTGGTCAAGGCTGCGGGGTCTGGGGATGCCCACTTGGGCGATGACACTATAACGCAATGCAGGGAAGTGATTGCAGTAAAATCCAGGACATTGTCCTTTTAGGGGGATGGGGGCCTTGTGATGGGGTGGGGTGGGGGGGTGGGGCGTCTGGGGTGGCTACCGCTGTGTACCTTCTTGACCTGCGCTCTGTTTATAAGATGTGAAAAGTATTAGTTTGTTTTGCGTCATTTTCTACATGTGGTTTACCAAGAAAAGTTTAAAAGAATCAACCACAGAACAACACTATACATTGGGTATGGGTTCACACAAGTGAATGTGAAAGTATAAGGCTCAGTAAGAACAATACCCGTTAAGTTCATGAGTGTGGGTCTCTCTAGAGAGGTACGAGAATGGAACTGGCTGTAGGGGAGACCAAAGGGCATTTCAAGGTCATCCTAATTCAACAAAAGAAGGACCTGGTGTAAATATGTCAACATCTTGGCAATGGAGAATCTAGGGTTTGGTCAACACACGTGTTTGCATAGTACCCTCTCCTAGTCTTTATTTTTGAATTTTAAAAATCTGGCTTTGTAGGAAAAAATACAATAAAGATTAAATCAAAGGAAAAAATAATGTAAAAAAATTAAAAAATTGGCTTTGTAACTGCATGCACTACATTCTGTGAAAGCATTTTGGTGTTATCCACACAGCACAAGCTATACATCAAAGATCCAATTATCTTTAGACCCACTGCCTTACTTAGAAAAATAGAGTAGGCATCTTTGATGAATTAGTTCCTCAACATTGAATAAATGAACATTGGACTCCCATGGAAGTTTATTCATTGTGGCTGTTCACCTAACAGTATCTTTAAGGGATAAAGGAATATTTTCTTTCTGCTGAGGTTGAACCACAAACATATGACTTGTTTAAACCACCAATCAGCTCCCTCTTTTACAGGATACCTAAGGGATTTCACTGAGATCCAGTTCAAATCAGTGCGATGCTCCCAGGTCATTTCCCACTTGGGGTTTTGAGACTAGTTGTCTTCTCAGCCTAAAGCTTCGTGGTGGGGCTGTGCATGCGCCTGGGTCTGTGCATGTGGTCAAAGTAACATAAATTATTAAAAATCGTTCATTATTTTGATCACGATGACCGTGATTGACCACCATCATTCTGCCATGGTGGGAGGGGAATGTCAGGAGGTAAATCTGCCTGCAGTGATTTTCTCGTGTTTGTTTTAATCTCGAGGAGCCCATCAGAACAACACTTTATAGAAATAACACAATCAGATGCCCCTCTGTGAGGACAGGTCGGCTGTAAACTTGCTTAGGATGACTCATGAGCACGAGAGAGAAGGGGCCCCCAGGGCGTGGCCCTTCCGTCCTTACCGGGCAGGAAGCTGCACAGCCGCTCCATGGAGGCCTGGACCGTGGAGTTGTGAACTTGCGCCAGCTGCTCAATCACCGACACCGCTATTACACACCCTGTAGGAGAGAAGGCCACGTCAGCCATGTCACGCAGAAAACCTTGCTGGACCATCCTGGGAAAGAAGGGGGAGATGGGTGGGTTCCAGCCTTGCCAAAGCAGAGAGCTTTTGCTTGCCCATCACTGTCTACAGTCTACCTTGGGCATAATTCGCTGTGATCTGTGGTGAACGGTGAAGTGTGGTAAGAAGGTCATGGGTTTGGGGTCAAAGACTAGTTGTCAGCCCCATTGTGCCACCTGTGAGCTGTGTGACCTTGGGGAAGTTAATGAACCTGGCTTTATTTCCTCTTCTTCTTTGATCACACGGGAGAAAGATGTCATTTAAAGGAGACTATGCAAAGATTAAATCTTGCACTTTAATCTTGGGCTTACCATCCAGCCTCGCAAAGCTTTGGTTCCCTTGCTGCAAAGTACATAATAATATGTTTCCCACAGGGCTGCTGTGAGGATTAAATGGGATAACAGTGCTACTGAACGTGCCTTTAAAACCATAACGCTATTGTAAAATATTATTTTACCTCACTGCTACACAGCACACTGCTTGAAGGCATGTACTCATATAATGAGTGTCTAGAAGGAACCATGGATTAAGTTAGAAATATATGCCTTCGGCAACCTTGATATATGATGAGTGTAAAGGCCCAGAATTGCTAGGTTGAAACTCCTAGAAGGTTCTCTCACCAGCCTTCATCTCCTGAACCGCTGGGGAAGCCCAAAGCAGGGGATTCTTCTATATACAGGGGGCTGGCTGGTTAAAGAGCAGTAAGTCTGTGCAGGAAGATTGCTAGGCCTCTCTGAGGTGAGAGGAAGAGCACGTATTAGCCGAGGCTGGTCTCCAAGGAGGTAAACAAAAGCTCAAATCTGAGATGAGGTTCCAGCAGTCAGCTTACTATTATCCATCTGCTCAAGGACCTGGGGACCCACATTCACATGCAAGGTGTCGTTAAAACCCAGTTTCCACCAGGACTCCTCGAGGGAAGGGGGCGGGTAACAGATGCAAATAGTACGCCTGCGTGTCGCTAGACAAAAAACCTTCCGCCACGCGGGGGCTCGCCGGCGGAGACTGGGAGATTTGCGCCTCCCGAGACGCCACAGCACCTGCCGCGGCTGCGGCTCCCGCGTTCCGTGCTCTCGGCGACGCTGGGCAGAGCCGGGCTCACGCAGTCCGAGGCGGCGCGACCCTGGCGACCACTGCCTTACTGCTCTGAGAGCAGCTCCTCGCTGGGGCGTTTGTCCATTAACTGTCAAGGCCGATGAGGTGCGCATTTGACCTAATTCATGCATCGAAGGGTTTATTACCTGGCAATGAATTCCATAGCTGATGCTTCCTGACACTTTATGGTCTAGAAAGCACTTCTGCATAGATTTTCTTTTATTTTAAAAATAATTTTTAAAAAATATAGATGCGATGTGATCTCCTTTTAGAACATTGAGAACTATAGAACAGCATAAAAAAGATAAATATCACTCAAATCATCCAGAGATAAACCAATTTGCGTTTTATTTTAAATACATAAAATGTATTGAACATATGTGATTATTTTCAACACTGATAATACACTTCCACAGCCTGACTTGTGTCTCCGCTAATTGCCTGTTAAGTTAGGTGGAGCTAAACGAATTTTAACAACAAAACGATTATAATTACATTGCAATGTGATAGAGTTTGCAGTGTGGTGTGGTTGAAAAGGGGAGGGTTTGTTTTGGGGAAAAAAAAAAAAAGAAGTAAACCAGCAGCAACTTGGATTCCAGTTCTGGCTCAGTCACTTACACAGGGAGTGGCTTCGAACGAGTTGCCTCCCCACCTGGGAGCTCACGTTTCAGAGTTTGGCGGTAGGACAGAAACCCCTGGAGGCCAGAAGTGGGGTCTCCCCGTAACCCGAGGGCCTGACACAGGGCCGGCTTCGGAGCAGAGGTGGGCACGGGCAGCAGATGTTTGCTGACTTGAAGTGAGCACCCGGGAGTGGTGTCTCCCTGGTCGGTTGCTCGGGGTCTGTCTCGCGGGGGGAGGGCTCCCAGGGGGACGGGCTGCTGTGCTCCAGCTCCATCGCCTCGCCGCCAGTGGCAGCGTTGCTTCCTCTTTGTTCCAGTCTCATTACAGGATGTGGCTCCCCGCTCACTCCGGGGTGGCACAAGCGCTACCCTCCCCTGCTGAGTCTGCAGCAAATGGCACCGGCGCACCGCTCGGGGTCACGGAAGAACGCCGTGGGGATGGGGTTGAGGTCTTGCACAGCCATCGATTCCCGTGGCGTCTCATCAGGGAGCTGCAGCGTGGGACCCCCGGCGTGGGCTCCAAGCACGGCGGGTGTGGGGATTTGCGAATGAAAACTGGAGACCTGGCGCAGACACCAAGCGAGGAGGTTCCACGGTGAATCCTGCCTGAGACCTAGCCTGTGGCTTTTAGGATTTCCCACGCCTTCTTAGAAATGGCGGAGAACCGCGATTACTGCAGACCCGGCCTGCCGCAGCTTTCCACGATCGGAACGTTTTCAGCACGCACCCTCCAAGGAAGGCAGCCCGTGACAAGTAGCCTGGGCAACTGAAGTGGCTGAGCTGGAAGGGAGCATTCAGTCTGCTCCCTGAATCGTTCTGGACACGCTGTGAGTTGGGATGGATATTTTTCAAATGAACAAGGTCAGGGAGCATCTTGGGGTGAATATAGACTTGATGCCGTTTTCTTGTTCAGATGAAGTGACAAAGGAGCACACAAAGATAACTGGGGATTGTTGCGCTGCCTCAGTTTCCCCTCTCTGACCCGTCTTTGAGGTGACAAACATTTGGAGGGACCAAAAACTAGCAAATGCTACTCCACTCAGAAGAGAGCCCCATACGCTGTAGGGAACTCATTTTATCCCCGGCGCCCCATCCCCGCTGAAAGGCTCTGTGTATTTTTGTGGGCTATTTTTGACCCTCCCTGCCTTTGCCTGGTCATTCAAGATCCTCCTTAAACTCCAGTGAAACATCATCGTCTTCTCCACGGCCCAATGTTTAATCCTCACTACTGAGGACTGGTGGTAAGTGCGGCTCTGCTGTTCTTCCCTCCAGACACCGCCCCCTACAGGGCAGAGTCAGCGATGGACTCACTTGCCCCAGGGCGTAGCTCCCTGCCTGGAACCTGAGCTCAGTCCGCCTTCACGGACTGGATGATGAGAGATGACTGTCCTAGAAATACCCTCTGTCCCTGTGTAGAACGGGACCGCCTCTTTATGGAGACGTGCATGAGAAAAACCCTATGAAGACACCCTGGCTGGATAGCTCAGGGGGTTAGAAGGTTTTCCTGACACATCAAAGTTGTGGTTTCGATCCCTAGTCAGGGCGCATTCAAGAAGCAACCAATGAGCGCATAAACAAGTGGAACAACAAATCACTGTCTCTCTCTTTCCCTCAAATCAATTAAAAAAGAAAACCGATGGAAGGCTAGATGTATCACTGGAAAATCCTGCCAGCCGCTGTCTTTTCCTTCCATTGAGGCTAAAGTCACGTGTTTATTTCCCAGGCATCAGGGAAGGCTTCCAAAGCTGGTTTTAACAAAGGGCGTGTGCATTCACCCCAGAGTTACTGAGCACCTGTTCTTGGCCAGAAGCTGTGCGAGGCTCTGACGCACCCCATTGAACAGAATGTGAGCCCGGCCCACAGGGAGCTCACAATATTGTTTCCAAATTTACATGAACTGGATGGTCAATAGAAAATAACATTCAAATGTTGGGTGAGATGTGACTGGAAGAAAACCTAAGGCCGAGCAAGGGGGAGAAAAGGCATTCCAGGCAAGAAACAAGACTGGGGGCCAGGAGGAGCGTGGGGTCCTTCTCCATTGTTTTCACAATTTCTTTAGTAGCAAGTTGTCTTTCTCGCTGGTATCAAAAATAACAGTTTCTTATAATGAGTGGCCCAATAGACTTGGTGAGGCGCAAGACTGGGCAATCCACCGTTGGTTCAGTGGAGCAGCAGGGCTGGATGAACGTGGAGGATAAGAGAACTCGTCTTGGAATTTCCTGCAGGGAGCTCCATTCTTGGGGGCCTCCAGGATCACACACCTTGCACACTATTCCCTTCCCCTGAAAACTCAGCTCCAGCACGCATACGTATTTGCTTTAACCCACGGGTCGGAAGGGCGGATGCAATGAGCATCGTGCTGCTTGGAACCACCTGTACTTTGTACTTAATGATTTAGGCTTTCACTCAGAAGAACCTCAGAGCCAAGCCTTATGGGTTTCCTGGCCTCTGCGGTGCTGGCTAAAATTGGAAATCATTGGATAAATAAAAAAGGAGCCAAAAAGAAGAAACATCTGCCTCTGAAGATCGGATGAGTGTTGGCACTATTATTACTCTGCCTAGTGAAGAGTTTTTATGATCAAAAGGACCCTGGAGAATAGCAGGTGATGAGGCTTGAAATATGTACGCGCCCAGGTTGGGTTCAGCTTTGATTTGAGTTCAGCTCTCTCCGGTGTCTCTGCTCATTTCCAGTGGGCTCAACTCCTGTTCCTGGTGGATTGTTAATTTTGAGTCTACAGTGAGGTATGTCCCGAGTCCCTTAATGGCAAGAACGGAGAAATTGACTTTGCTATTGCTTCTTCTAAGAGGTTGCACTGTCTTGACAAGCTAAAGAATGCTTTCCCCTGGAGAGATGCATGGGCAGAGTAATTTCCCCATTACAGACTATTCTCTGGCTGCTAGTAAAAGGCCTGGCTCTGCTAAAGCAAATTTGTCCAAGTGACTGTTCATTTAGGGAGAGATGACAGCCGGTGAGAGCCCTGCATTTTACTCAGTGGTCACCGAAATCCCTTCTCACCTGGTACCTGAAAATAATGAGCATAATAGAAACTGACACCCCTGATACTGTAGGAAAAGAAGCGAATGGGCCCGAATAAAAACACCTGGCACTGAGATCTGCTTCCGGACCCACAGCTCAGGTAGTTCGCAGACTGTACCACAGAATCCTTCAGAAGTGAAACAGAGCGCTTGGAACTCTAATTATAAGCGAGCCTGCGCGGGCTGGAAC